TAGTGTTCAAGATGCGGTATGTTATATGATGATGAACTTGAACAATATGCATTAGTGAGTAAATAAAAAATGATGCAATTCTACCAGATGAGGATGCATACAAACACAAAAATGATGGAGTATTAAAGTATTTATCCTTGTAGTAGACTAATGCTAAAAGAAGATATTTGTCATTAAATATTGGTGCATATATAGTACTATTTTAAAGTGCATTTATATTATTGTGTGTTGCTGGCTTGGGGTCGCCGATATTGATTTGAGATGAGGATTATGGTGACTACCCTTGTTTTTGTTACTGTTGGGGTGCTTCATCTTTCTGTGCCAGAATCAGATGTAACTTGGGGCCTTTCACTAATACGTTGCATGTGATGTTGATTGCCACTGCAACAGTTTGCCGCTGGGTGATGTGGGAAATTGTTTATCGTGCTCAAATGAAGCCCCTTATTGTTCTTATTCTAACAGAAAGGGATTGAAGAACTATGCATTGCACAAAAGGTTATGCATTCTTTCTCTAAGGCCATTTTTTGTACTGTTGATGGGGAAGAGATGGAAAGATTAAAAACAAATATGTTGGGGCCTACTTGAGAGGCTGCACCAAAAAACTTGTATCTAGAATTTTCAAATGTGTAGACACAATAGTTGCTTCATTTGCATATGATTAGTTTTATTTTCAAAAATAAAAATAAAAATAAAGTATTACAGTGTTGCTTTTTTGTTATTAGGTAATGCACTAAAGTTTTTTTTTCATTTCTTTTTATACAGATGCACTTATAGTCACATAGGACATGTTCCCATATTTTTATTGTCGTTTGTGATTCTATAATTTGAGATATGTATAATCTCAATTTACCAAATTTCTATAATCAATCTTTGGGTGCAACAAATCAATAATTACTTATGTATAGAGTGCCTTTTATTCTTTTGCATCCCTTTTCATCATCATTGACATTGTTCATCACTTACTCCCTCTTCCAATAGGAAAAAAACTATGATACGAATTGATATAAGCATAAATTAGAACCCCAAGTTATAAAGTTAATTAAAATCTTAAATGTAGTATGTTTTAATTCAAGAGCCAAATAATTCAATTTATAAAATATGCACTATAATTTTTTTAAAAAAATCATCAAAATATTTAGCATGTTATACATATAATTCTGGGTTGTGCACAGTATGCACTACAAATATCTTATAATACACTGATTGTTTTATATAATGCACTAAAAATGCATAATATACAGATATTTACAGTAGAGGATTGAAGCATCATGGCTAGCAAATAGTGCATTACAAATTGAGATGACATTCAACATTATCATTTTCATGCTATATGAAATAAGATTTTTTTGGAACCTTCAAAGATGCAAAATATTTTCATGAATAAAAGATTAATACATTCATGAGTATTTAATTAATAAAGGCTGAAATGAATCTCCAATATTAATCTCTAATAATTAATTTCAGAATTTTTTAATTAACAAGATTCATAATGCAAAGCTTTTTAATGAACAAAATATTCTGTTTTTTTTTTGAAAAATGAAGAACAAAATATTAATCCAATACGGAATAGGACTTTCTTAAAGATTCAAGATTTTTTAGAACCTTCATGGAGATTTGTTTGGCTCAGCTAAACTATTGGGAGGACACGTATGATGGACTATTCAAAATGATATTACCTTCATGCCCTTGGCCAACAACTTAATCCTTCATGCCCTTGGTCAACAACTTAATCCTAATTTAAAATCAATTTTGGAAATGCCATCTGCAACCAGCCGTGTCCCTCCGATGCTTTAAATCCAACCATTCTATTTCATTCTTATTTCTTTCACCAAGCACCTTTCTCACCAGAACCAACCCATATATATATATATATATATATATATATATATATATATATATATATATATATATATATATATATATATATATATATATATATATATATATATATATATATATATATATATATATATATATATATATATATATATATATAGACACACACACACACACATACATACATACATAATCTAGGTTTACTAAATTATTACAAATATATAATTCTTCTCACCCCTTAATTCAAAAAATATACGACAAAAATATGGGTGATTTTATTATTCTTCTCCCCCGCATTTATTTAACAAACTTAGATTTTCGATCCTGTAATTTTAATATTAAAAAATCATGGTTCTTCTTCACCAGATTAATTTACATTAATTGAAATATATGATTTTAATTTCTATGACGCATTAATGTGATTCTTCCTCTCCTTGGCCCTTAACACTGCTAAAAAATTGACTTCTTTTTCTTGTATTATTTAAAGTATGAAAACATAAATTAACAACCATATGATAAGAAATATAAATTTTACAATACATTAAAAATATAATAATTATTCTCCCTCGATTTATTTTAAAAATTATTTGAACGCATAAAAACATTAGCGATTCTATGATTTTAATGAACATTTTACAAAAACTATTTCACAATTTTTACTCATTTTTTTGCTTTCTTTTTTAAATATAAAATCATTTAAGTGTGTGAAAGTATTTTGGTCAATACATAATGTTTTATAAAATACAAAGAGTTATAATTTAAAAATTATATTTCTCTTTGATGTTGTAGCTGAGTCTAAATTTTATTCATTTCTGCACATTAGATCTTCTTCGTTCTTCTCCTTAAATAATTGATTATCCTTGCATCAAAATTTAAATTGTCACATATCTTCACGCATTTACTGGCCTTCAGATCTTAATTTTCCTTATAGAAATATTTTTTTGTGAAAATCCATGTTATATCGCTTCATCTCTAAGAATATCATTTTATTGAATTTCTTTGTACTTCTGCACATTAGATCCTCTTCGCAATATATATGTGAAATTTAAATGGTATATAACATTAAAAATCAAGTTGTTTAAATATTTGATATTGTACAATAAAAAATAATTTCGTTCCACCCATGCATGACACGAGTTAAATACTAATCCCTCCGTTTCTTAAAACCCTTCCTCTTTCATTTTTTTTTGTTTTTCTTAAAACACTTCTTTTTTCTATTAAAAAACCACTTTTACCCCTACTTTTTCATACCCTACCTATCACATCATACATTTTCACTAATAACTAAACTATCACATCTTACTTTTACCCATCACATCAGTGGCAAAATTGGAAAGTCAACTAAAATTACACTTTCCTTATTTTTTCCCAAAGTCAAAACAGGAACCGTTTTGAGAAACGGAGGGAATAGTTGTCTAAAATGGGTGACACATCAGCTCTGCCACATGTGGCACTTTAGCTCTGCCAAATGCCACGTTCTTTTATAGCTCGGAGTCTGCTTTATATATATATATATATATATATATATATATATATATATATATATATATATATATATATAAAGGATTGTCTAAAAGGGTGACACATCAGTTCTACCACATGTCACGCTTTAGCTCTGCCAAATGTCATGTTCTTATAGCTCGGAGTCTACTTTATATATATATATATAAAGGATTTGCATACATACACGCTCTCCTACACTCTACTCGTGTGAAATTTCACTAGATTGTTGTATTAATTTACAAGGGTGAGATTCCATTTATTCCTTATACCTCAAGGAAGTTAGATTTATATTGGATTGTTGTTGTAGGTCCTTTCACTAAAGCAAATTGTTACCCAAAAGATATGTTAATTAGCCTTTTCAGTTCCTTGCTATGGGGTTTGGTTAAATCTTAGGTATGGGTTTGGAAACACCAAAGTAACAGTGTCCCCAATCTTTTTTTACTCATTTTGACTGAAAGTTTATGAAAAACAAATACACCTATTTTTCTACACACTTAGGGTGTATATTATGAAATTAACGTATGTACATTTACGAATAACATACTCCCTCCGTCCCAATTAGACGGAGTAGTATTTATTGAATATACATAAAATTAAGTATATCTTTGCCTGAGGTGAGCATATCCAAATTAAGAGCAAAGGCAACGGCGTGTAAATGAGATGACACGCTTGCCAACTCGGACAAAAACCTTTCTTTGCCTCGCATGTGCATACCGTTCCTCCACAGTTTCCAAGTGAGGTGCGAGACACTTTTGTTGTCTACAGTACACTCCAATCCATTTCCTTGGCTTTTTGTTTGTTTGTTTTTTGTCGTGTAATACAAATTTTTTTAAAGTAGAATTATTTTATTTTTAGAAATAATCTTTTAAGATGTAGTGGACTTATTTTTTGATGTTGTTTTTTAATTTGCAGGTTTTATTTTTATTCTTTTACCAATTTTAAATAAAATGATTTTAAAAAACAAGGAGTTTTGCATCTTAATTCTAAAATGTAATCTAATTTGAGACAGAGGGATAAATAAAAATATGGAGCATATAAGAAAAATAAATTTTATTTGTTAAATTACATTTTAATAATATCACTTTTTTAGTAAATAGAAATATTTTTATGTCAAAATAAATAGGTAAATAGTTTTTAATAATTCAAATATAGCAAGAAAATGAAAAAAGTAATAAAAATAGTGACTTGCCACTACAGGACATGTGACTGGACTATTTTTCATTGGTTGAAGTGTTCCACCTCAGCATGTGACATTCCATTTTTACCTCACGGTTGCTCTTGATCTAAGGGGGCCTATAGTTTTATTACTCGAGAACCAATAACTGCGCTCTTGATAGTTCAATGCTAATTGACAACCTTACAAACTTATTTAATATTCCATCTGTCCCAAATTAAGTTGCACGCTTATTATTTACAATGTCAAACTTTTTTCACTTTCCTTCACAATTTTCATTGCTCATTTGATAAAATATATAATCATGTCAACTCTTGTTTCCTAAAACTTTTAACGTAGTTTTTTTAAATGTAAAGTTTATTTTTTAATTTCGCTCCAATTCTCTAATAAAGTACATTGAAAATAGTTTCAGTCAAACATCATACGCCGAAACACGCGATTTAAAATGGAACGGAAGGAATAGCATATTACGTGAGCCTCAAGAAGCAAAATAACCATTAAATTCCCACATAAAAGAGGACTCGTCTCGACAAAGGCTTCATCCATATGACTCAACACATCATGAAGTACAACATCATGCCAAAATTCTCTCATAAAAGCCAAAGCTATTCGAAAAATGACCACAACCTTTCTACAGTATATAATTAACTACAAAATTGGAGATTAACTTCTAAGAAAAATCATAATTAGATCACCGGCCGGGACTTGCCTTTGGAAAATAAATTACGATATATAATCTCAACTTTCATGCCATGCTATTTACACAGACTTTATGCCGAGCAAGGACTTTGCCAAGTAGATAAATCGGAGATAAGATCTCGTAATTGATCAATGAGAAGTTTAATGTATCCATTCTTCTTGAAAAGTTCCTGCATCGGATGAAAATAAGAAAAACAAAGTTACAAAGGAGGCGAACACAAAGGGAAACACATTATGTGTGTAAAAGCTTTGAAAGAAGACTAATCAAGATCACAATATCGCATATGAGCTACGACAACAACAAACCCAATAAAATTCCACAAAAGTAGGGTTGTGGGAGAGTGGGTAAGCACACATTACCCCTACTCAGGTAGTAGATAGGCTGTTTCCAAGAGACCCCAACTCAAATACAAAGGGAGACAAAGTAAACATATGGGCACGGAAAGTAAGGGCTAAGTAACAGAAAGTAAACAGAGTAAACATATGAGTAAACAGAAGCACAGACAAAGTAAAAGCAAAGTAGAAGCACGGAGACACAAAGCACACAAATTGATATATGAGCTAATCTTGTTAATTTTTTATGGAGTAATAAAAACGATGCATGTATGAGCTCTTACAAGGTTGAGAGCTCGTTCAGTAAGCTTTTATCGATTTATAGCATTATCAACCTGATTGTGAAAAATAGTCTTATCGTGAAAAATAGTAGTGTTTGAGTAACATATTTTTACAGGAACGGCTGAAACAAAAAAAATGGTATTACAGCCTTCATTGTCATATATTATTAACTTTAACTTAAGAAATACATAGTATATTTGAAAGGCTGTTTTAGATAATTTTTCAGCCTATCCAACCATTTCAACCACATCTTTAGTAAATTAAGCCACTTTAGCCATGTTAGGCCTTACCAAACAACCACTTTAGGTTCTTTGACCTATAATTTCTGCTCAGGACCAGTACTAGCTAGTACCTTTCTAAGATTGGAAGCTTGCACTTCCAATTTCTCAACATCAGCTTCATCTTCTGGAGAACCTGAACTGGTTTCAAATGCTTTTGCCTAGTTGCAGAGAGTAATAAAAAAGTTTATATCTTTAAGAGATATGTTTGTTGTATTTCATAATCAAGAGCAGAGAATTGGAGATTTTTACCTCGCGAGAAATCGGAATGGCAGCAAGTACCCTGCGAAGAGCAGCTATGGAGCTTTTATACCGAAATCGAGCTTCATCGAGAGCTCCATTTCCTTTAACAGAACTAACACTGCCATGACCTGTTCCATCATAGACAGAGTCTCCATTTCCGGCTCCGTTTTGGGAAAGCGAATTGTTACTATTAGCAGCAACAATTGGGGAATTTGTAGTGTTACTGGAAGAAGTGGTGATAGACCATAATGCAGGGTTGCAGAGCTCATTGTTCATTAAAGCAAGGATTTGATATGCTGCTTCAATTGTTTCTTCTAGATGTTTCTGTCCCTCCATTGCTAGCTCTTGGGTCGTTTTGCTGACTGACATTGTGATGTCTTCCATTTTGAATTATTTCTAATCACAGGACTCCTAAATGAAAAAAAATGTAATGGGAACCGTCAATTTTACGAACGTAGCATCGTACGGCCCCTAATAACAACAAAAACAACAACAATAATAACAACCTATTTGAATCCCACAAGAGTAGGGTCTGGGGAGGGTGTGTGTATGCAGACTTTACCCCTACTTGAAAGTAGAAAGACTGTTTCCCAATAGACCCCTGGCTCAGCGTCGAAAGTTGCATTGTGTGACTATCTGCTACTTCATTAATTAAAGAAGCGCAGACATTTAAAGATCCATTTTGCTTTATTCCATCACACCCCAAAGCCAAAAAAGAGTGAAGTTTTGGCTCCATCGGAGATGTTGGAAACAACAACAACAACAATAATAACAACAATTAATAATAATAATGACTAACAATTAAAGAAACCAAGAAGAACATTGAGATGGAAACAAATGCAATCCTTTCAAAAAAAATCATTGGAAAACTTCTAAAACTTTAGCAAACCCTAATAGATGGAAACCCTAAGAGCATGCTTGGTAAGCAAAACTTGTATGAGTTTTGATATCTCTGATATCAACAACAACAACAACAACCCAGTTGAATCCCACTCCAGTAGGGTCTGGGGAGGGTGTGTGTACGCAGACCTTGCCCCTATTTGAAAGTAGGGAGGCTGTTTCCAAGAGACCCCCGGCTCAACCTGCACAAAAAGTATGGTAGAGAACACAATATAACAGGATAACAAGATATAACAGGATATAACAGGATAAAGCACCAAGTACAATGAAATGAAAAGTTTAGCAAACACAACACAAGTAGAAGATACCAAACAAACACAACACACTACAAAAACCTCTACAGCACCGAGCTCCTAACCAGCTACTCTAATCCTAGTCTTCCAAAGGTTCCTATCTAAGGCCATATCCTCAGTCAGGGTGAGAAGTCCTAAATCCTGCCTAATCACCTCCTTCCAATTCCTCCTAGGTCTACCCCTTCCCCTACTTCCCCCGATAACCGTGATCCTCTCGCACCTCCGCACAGGAGCAACAACATCTCGCCGTCTCACATACCCAAACCATCTCAACCTCGCTTCCCGCAACTTATCCTCCACCGGCGCCATGCCAACTTGACGTCGGATAACTTCGTTCGAAATCCTATCCAACCTTGTCTTCCCACACATCCATCTTAACATCCGCATCTCCGCCGCATGCAAACGACGCACATGAGTCTTCTTAACCGCCCAACATTCTGCCCCGTATAACATAGCAGGTCTGACTACGGATCGGTAGAACTTACCTTTCATCCTGGGAGAAATCTTCGGGTCACACAACACCCTTGAGGCCAACCGCCATTTGGCCCAAGCCACTCCAACACGATGTCCAACATCCCCGTCTAACTCCCCATCTGCCTGGATTACCGAGCCAAGATATCGGAACTTGTCTACCTTAGGTACTACGTGAGAGTCAATCC